ATTTGAACAAAGTTGATCTCTTTCGAAAAGAATTTATTCCATTATTTCACTTTAATCTCTCTTCATAATAAATTTTTCAGATTTGAACAAAATTGATCTCACTCAAAAAATAAGGTTTTCCATTATTTCACTTTAGCGTGCACATATTTATAATACTCTTAATGATTAAAACCGTGGAACCGCAGCCATATGTAATCAAAGCAGTACGCATTTAAATTCAAAATCGATCAAATTCGTGGACGCGACGCACCATTATTTAACCATTATAATATCAATTACACATTTATGAAATGCAGCTTACCAGGTGTACCGGTTAATAATTCTCAATTTTTTTTTGAGAGAGAATGTAAATTTTTAAGACAATGTAAATTTGGAAAAAGGAAAAATGTTTTATTCAAAGTACCATCGCTAGCTATACATTTATCCCTTGAAATTGCCCTCCCAAAAAATTGTTCACATTTTGAGAGAAACCGAGTCATTTATCGACATCGTAACTGTGGAAGTATTCCTGGAAAAGGCATTAATGAAAACAAGTGTAGTCCAAGAAGGCCAAGTCTGAATATGGCGGGAGGAGCAAGAGTATCAACCAAGTGCAGAAATTGTGCCTTTAACCGTTTTCGCTGTATAATGTGGCGTTGTGTTGCAAGATTTTCTGTGTATTCTAGCTCAATTTGTACGCTTTTCGATCGGTGCACGGTTCAAACTGATTATTTGACGGTAGCGATCGTTAACTGTCACGTGGTTTCAGCTCATGATCCCACCAAATATTGTCTTCCGAAGTGATTCTTGCGGTCGATGGTTGTGTCAACCCATAACTATTTGTGTTTGGTTCCCAGTAGAACCAGAACATGTGTTAGGACATATGACAATATGTATTAGAAGGCTTGCACTCATGTTTCTCTTTTGATTGAACACGAAAATGCGCCAAAATTTGAAACTAGACTACAAAAATATGTCGCTAACTCGAAATCTTAACATCGACGTTTTAAAAGATATTGTCATGGTAACATAATGTAGGAATCTACCCCATGAGAGTCTAAGTGTTTAGAGCAATCCAGCGAAGAAACACCTGATATTTGTCATGAGACTTCATCCTCGAGCAAATATTCCTTTCAAAATTTTCGCAAGAGAAGAAATGGCGGTCTATGACGTAGGCGAGTAGCAAGATGGTGACCATGCAGCTCCGCAATTTGGTTTGACTACCACAAAAATATAACGCTAACTCGACGTTTTGAGTTACAGCAAGAAAATAATATAAAGATTGTATATGCAATCCGAAGTGAAGAATTACACTTGGTATACTATTCTCGATAAGAACAGAGGGAATTTGGGAACAATTCTCGTTTCACGAAACAGGAAATGGAATTCCGCGGAACTCGTCAAAATTTTTGTCGAGATTCAAGAAATCGAAATAGTGTACGAGGAAAGGAACGAAACAATGACGAGATTGTTCAACAGTGTAATACGGTGACCGTATTTTTGAAGGAGCCTTTGTGTTCTTCGCGTTCAAATTTTCAGCTACGCCCCGAACTTGGGTAACTGAATTCTATCGGTCGCCGCGAGCACTGCTTGCATTCACCCTCGCGCCATACTCTTAAGAAAGCTTTCATTGTTGGAATTCGAGTACGAACTATATTTCTCCTTCTATTCTTCTGCTCGCCAGTTTCACGTTTTCCAAGTGTTCGCTTCGTTTCCGCCAATGAACCTAGGCGCTCTGTTAGGCCGTGTTTATTTAGGACATCGCTTCATCATAAAACGATAATGTCACCGCTAGCTAAACACGGATTAAACGATGTCTACTGAATAATATTTTTGTTCACTTTTCTGGCAGTTACTTGTACTTGTACTGTATTGTGATTTTGTCTCACTTAAAACTTTCATCATAGTATTATTAAATTATTTAGGTTTATAAGAATAAAGATTTATATTTGTGACAATTTTAGTTCAAGTACTTTTGGATGAGAATATTTTAAGAGAGTTTTTATGAGGTAACAAGTTCAGTTCAAGTACTTTGGGATGAAAATTTATATTTCGAGAGAAACTTGTAGATAATTATTTATTTAGATCAAGTGCTTCAGAATGGAAATTTATAACAATCTTCAAGTATTTAAAGATGAAAATTGATGATATTAGAAAATATTTAAGAATAAAGATTGACATTTAATAAAGAATAATATTTAAATTATAGTATTAAGGATCAAGGGTTGATATGATAAATAATATTGCAGATCCATATAATGAAGAATGTTTGATACAATAAATAGTATCAAAAGATCAAAGTCTGATGAATATAACAATACTTCATATTTGACACATGTAACAATAATAAAATATAAAAGTTCAAACTTGAAATTCAAAATGCGAAGTTTTAGCCTAAACACGTTTCATTCCTGCAAAAATCTATAATTAAATTTTACAGTATAAATCTTCAGATTCGTATTTTACTTTATTAGTCCAAAAGCAATGTTGTTCAAAATGACACCATTTCGTATTCGTAATTATTCGATTACATGCAATTTATGATGCAAGTCACCAACGACCCTTAGCACAACGCGTTAATTATGCAAAATAGTGAAAGAAAAGTTGAAAGTAAAAGGCTAAATGGTTGAACTCAAGATATGCAATTGGATTTATAGCCTGCCGTGGTACGCAAAGTCGTTTTCGCTGTTACAATCAACGCGTTAAAACTCCAAATTAAATGACCTCGTTAAATGGCCGTTTCCTGCTTCGGAATTTACTTTGCGAGGAAAGCTAGGAACACTCTTTATTCACTGTAATTGCTGATATAAGAAAGAATGCGTAAAATCGTATAATTTCTTGAGGTTTTATACTTCAACACGTTCGCACGGTGGTTATGCGTGAGCGGTGCTGCAACTTCAAATACTTCTTTACAGAAAAAACAGACGAAAGGAACATTCGAAGACTCCTAACGTCGACAATACATTAACAGATTAAAAAAAATTGAAAGATTAAGTACTCTTCTTAATAATCTGTATTATGTCTGACCATAAACGTCACTTTTCACTGCGGCGGTCAACGTGTTAACAAATATTAACGTCAAAGTGTTAACAAATATTAACAATTTCATGATGAAAGATTGCAACTTCAATATAAATAACCTTGAAACTAAAATCCACGAATTCACATAATTACTCATTACATTCACTCTACATTTTGCTATATTTACTCGAGTATCAGTTCATAAAAATTGATTCTAATGGCATTGTACCATGAACAATTTGACTTCATGAAGTATAGAAGGGTGGAAGCTATTGAAGTTAGTTCTGGGGTTAAACTAGAGTGATTGCAGCGACGACGTGAAAAGAACATGGGGAAATATCTCAAGGGGGAAGCCATATTAGTGCCTCGCGCACACAGCTATCGCCATTTTTAATGCAGCGGCGGTGTTCCAGCGAAGGAATAATAGCAAATACCTGCTATTTATTTAGTTGCTAACATGAACAAACGACCCTGTACGGGTTATGACCTTATAGGTACACGAATAGCCACAGTATTCAGTTCAATACCGTTCGTGTGGACTCTGTATTAGCCTTTCAATGAGAACACTTGTTCATCCACATTGAATTATTACACAATAGCCTATTTTGAAACGTATAGTGTTCAATGATGATTGTCTCGATAATGATTTGTATAGCTATTGCAATCTTTTTATATAATAAGTTTCCACAATTTAATTACAGAAATCGTGTATAATGATTAAATAAACGTATATGTGTATATAGTCCCATTTGCATTTGTAAATACTAATGGACTCGCAATAATTGAATGAATAAATGAACTCCATTTAAATTTCACTTGTCAGAAGTATACCTAAAAGTTTAATCAAAACACACCGCATAGTAGGACCATTATCATTTCCCTAAGTATACAGTGTCTACGGTAAACGACCATAGTCGTTCGCAGCAAAAGGGTTAATGCAGCAATCTCGGCTGTGACTGATGTTACACGCAATCAAGGAACAGCCTTTCGCTTTTCATTCACCACCGGATACGTACTTGCTATACATCGTGCGCAAAATTACTGGACTTATACGTTCCGCCCAATCTATTTCACGCCGTGAAATTTACTTTGCAGCTTATTGCTTGATACCAGAGATGGAAATGTAGCCGCGCCTTTGTGTACTACCCGTGGTTGCTACTTACCGCCGATTAGCACTTCGTGCCGAAGTGAAAGAAACGGGTCACAAGGTTGCATTAATACCCGACTTTCAAAAGAATGGCGAATAGTATGATAGTTTGATGTAGAGGTCGCTGATGAACTTCTACTTAACCTCTTTCGGTTAACCTACAATTTTCTGGACAGTTGCATTATCGTTGCGATATCATCACAAATTACGGAAGTTAAAATGGACGAATTTACATTCGAAATTCTTGGTTATCAAGTTTGGAGGTTGAGGTTCAAATTGCATAGAAAAGTCTCTGTCATATTTGATTGCAGTGTCTATACAAGAGATTAATTATGATGGGGTCAAATTTGACTCCCGTATTGTTGAGTCAGTATTTTATAAAATTTTATAGAGAAACGTTTGAACAAAGCACTCAAAGACAATTTATGTAAATTTAACCTTGTATAAATTTATCTTTATGAAGATTCAATAATATATATGTAATGTGGTAGAAACTGAAATTTTGATAATTTACTTTCATATAAAGTATCGATTATTTTTCATCAACCTCGAAACAAATGGAGAAGCAACCAATCTTAGTTGTTTGCCAGAGATATTGAATGGACATGTTCTCTTTACGAACTATCCAGGGACGTTTACCTTAAATAAAAAGTATCAGGCTGTTTGATTAAAAGTTCTCCGTAAAAAGGATTCATTTAAATCGAGCAGAGAATTTCAGTCGGATATCTAGGAGAAACGATGGGGATGCTGAACATTCGAAAGCATCCTTTTATTCCTCGGGAGCACCTAATTTACCGTTATCAATAATCATGGTTCAGTATTTAATGTTGTCGTTTCTTTGTGCTTTTTTCAGGACGGCAATCGAGGAACCTGGAGATATTGGGGCAAATATCGGGACACCATCACGGAACGCAGTATGCATCGGAAAATTATAAAAACAGTGAGTTATCGTATTTATTCTTTGGTGGAAGAATTTTGTAATTTGCGGATTTAGAGGGTTGGTGGTTTAGAAGAGGAGGATGTGGATGTTTAAAGATTTAGGGGTTTAGGGGTTTATTGATTTAGGATTTGGAGATTTAAGGATTTAGGTATATTAGGATTGAGGGATTTGGGGACATAGGAATTTTGGAATTTGGAGATTTAGGGATTTAGGGATTTAGGGATTTAAGGATTTATTGATTTAAGGTTTAGGGATTTGGGGACTTAGAAATTTTGGAATTTGGAGGTTTAGGGATTTAGGGATTTAGGGATTTAAGGGTTTATTGATTTAAGGTTTAGGGATTTGGGGATTTAGGTATATTAGGTTTGAGGGATTTGGGGTCTTAGGAATTTTGGAATTTGGAGGTTTAGGGATTTAAGGGTTTATTGATTTAAGGGTTAGGGATTTGGGGATTTAGGTATAGTGGGTTTGAGGGATTTGGGGACTTAGGAATTTTGAAATTTGGAGATTTAGAGATTTAGGGATTTAGGGGTTTACTGATTTAGGGTTTGGGGATTTAGGTATTTAGGTATATTAGGTTTGAGGGATTTGGGGACTTAGGAATTTTGAAATTTGGAGATTTAGGGATTTAGGGATTTAGGGATACAGGGATTTAGGGACACAGGGATTTAGGAATACAGGGATTTAGGGACACAGGGATTTAGGAATACAGGGAGTTAGGGATACAGGGATTTAGGGATACAGGGGGTTAGGGATACAGGGAGTTAGGGATACAGGGAGTTAGAGATACAGAGATTTAGGGATACATTGACTTAAGAATACAGATATGTAGGAATACAGGGATTTACAAATTTTGATATATTTGAATTAGAAAAATGTTTAATTAGGAAATGTCGAAGATTGGAAGTTTAGGGTTTTGAAGATTTGAACATTTGGGAATTCAAATATTTAGAAATTTGAGATCATAGGAAATTTGAAATAATCTAAATTTGAGTATTTGTGAATTTTTAAATTTAGAGACTTGAGACATTGGAAATGTAAAAATTTGATAACTTAAAAATTTGAAAATGTAAAAATATACAAATCTCTAAATTCTAATTCCTAAATATGAAAATTAAAAAAATTGAATATTAGAATATTTGTCAAGTTAAAAATTTGTGATTATACATTTGAAAAACAAAGAACAAAGAAATTCTGACAGTTAAAAATTATAATTGTATAATTATAATATACTTAAGAATATCAAAATTACAGTACAATTAGCAATTTTCGAGTGTCCATATCCGATATTATATAACAAAATTCAATTCCCTATATATGAATGCAAACATAAAACACATTCCGACATATTTCAAACAAAAAGCTAAATGAGTCTCCTGCATATTTTATTTCTATACCCACATAAAACCTCTGCGCGTGGCAGTCAAAGCAAGAACAAAAAATGGCCTACTTTCGAATAGTAATTAATACGTTATGCAGTAGATAAAAATAAGATAAGGGATAATGACGTGAAAAATTACTCGTCACAGTCACGAATACGCGATACCGGCTATTAAAGTGTTAAGCAAGTTCAACCCACTTCACCTTTTATGGAGGTATATATACACAACAATGGCCGCCGCGACGCAACAATAAACTCATAAAGCCATCGGGTCTAATTAGAAATTTCACAGAATATTCAGCAGCTGCTTTGTGAAGCTATATACTAAATGAGCAATAATTTCCACGTAAAATTCTAAGGCTTTTTTTAAGATTCGAGTTTTATGATTTTATTACTAATGAACTTGATAACTGGAGTTGCGAACTTTGTCATAGAAATGAAGTATAAGGGAAAATATCAGGAAAATGGAAATCATTTGAGCAGAGGATTTCTTTTTATTTCCATGGGATGCTATAATGGAAGTAATAAAAAATTTTTGTAGTAGAAGTAAAAATTTGAAGATGAAACTGCGAGGTTATGTGCTTCATATTGCTTGCAAGGTAGTCAATTTTATGACTTGGGGACTTTTTAATTTTGTAGTTAATTTAGTTTTATAATTTTTTAATTTCTGGTTTTCTTTGGGTTTTTAAATTTTTAGTTTAACTTTGCAATTTCTTGGTTTTCTAGTCTTCTTACTTTCTGGTATTTAATTTTTCTAGTTTTTTATTTTTTTCTCTAATTTTCTAAATTTCTGAATTTCTAATATTTAAAATTTTTGAATTTTCAAATTTATAAATTTATAAATTCCAAAATACCTAAATCCAGAAATTCGTAACTCCTTAAATCCCTAAACCCTTGTATCCCTAAATCTGTACCCCAAATTTTCAATTTACCAAATTTCCAAACTCTCAAATTTCCAAACTCTCAGATTTCCAATTTACCAAATTTCCAAACTCTCAAATTTCCCATTTACCAAATTTCCAAACTCTCAAATTTCCCATTTATCAAATTTCCAATTTACCAAATTTCCAAACTCTCAAATTTCTCAATTACCAAATTATCCAAACTCTCAGATTTCCCATTTACCAAATTTCCAAACTCTCAAATTTCCAATTTACCAAATTTCCAAACTCTCAAATTTCCCATTTACCAAATTTCCAAACTATCAAATTTCCCATTTACCTAATTTCCAATTTACCACATTTCCAAACCCTCAAATTTCCCATTTACCAAATTTCCAAACTCTCAAATTTCCCATTTACCAAATTTCCCATTTACCACATTTTCAATTTACCAAATTTCCAAACTCTCGAATTTCCAATTTACCAAATTTCCAAACTCTCAAATTTCCAATTTACCAAATTTCCAAACTCTCAAGTTTCCAGTTTACCAAATTTTCACTTTACCAAATTTCCAATTTACCAACTTTCTAAAAATCTAATCAACAATCACAATTTCATTCTTGATCAAAAAATTCTATCTATAACTCAAGCATCTAATTATAAATCACTGAATGAATAATTTACCTAAAAACGTAAATTAATTACCTGAAGCCTTGAACTTATATCAAAGAATATTCATTCATAAAATTGTCGACATAAAGCTGCGAATTAAATATTCAACTAAATACATATCTCTATACATTGCAATCGAATGTAAATACAAAATGAACACTTAATCACCTATCCAAATACCTATCCAAATATAATAACATTAATTTACTAGTCATAATTAAGGATTGCAGGAATACCTGTTGCTTGTAATCCAACAAGTTTTCTGAATACAGTACAGCGTAACATGATATCACAATTTTTTTATGTAAATTCCAAATATGATGCATGAAATCCATCAAAATTCATATTTTTCGTTAAATTCTTTACAAGTGCTCACAGAAGATGAACATGTTAAATTTTTAATGATACGGTTTTGTTGAAATATTGAATCATAAAATTAAATTACAATTTTATTGCATGGTAGGTTAATGTTTTATGAATTTTTGTATAAATTGTTGGAAAGTTAATTTTTTGATCATTTTTTTTTGTTGAGTACTTTATTCATATTTTATTTAAAATAGAGATTAGGTGAATTTTGTTTGAGACACATTTTCTAAAATTTTGTTCAAAATATAATTTCTGAAATTTTATTTAAGATACACTAAACTCTCAAATTTAGTTCAAAACACAATTACTTAATTTTATTTAAGACCCACAAATTTCTCAAATGTTCTTTAAAATACAATTTCTCAAATTTAGATCAAAACACAATTACTCAAATTGTATTTGTGTCACACAAGTTTTTCAAATTTTGTTCAAAACACAGTTACTCAAATTTTACTTAAGTCCAACAAATTACTCAAATTTTCTTTAAAATACAATTTCTCAAATTTAGTTCAAAACACAATTACTCAAATTGTATTTGTGTCACACAAGTCTTTCAATTTCGTTTAAACCAGACTTACTCAAATTTTATTTAAAATTCACAAATTTCTTAAATTATCTTCGAAACACAATTACTTAAATTTTATTTAAGTCTCACAAATTTCTATGATTTTATTTAAAGCATATATTATTGACATTTTTTTAAAAGCATAATTACTAAAATATTGTTCAAAAGTCTTCCAACATGAATTTCGAATATCAATTAAAACTTCATTAACAATTTCCGTTTATTCCTACACTTCTACCGCAAAAACCAACAGAACCGAACACATAACAACACAAAGCAATCAATATTTAGTTAATCAAAACGTACAATATTAGAAGCTTTCATCAAGCATTTGCATAGCTCTGTCCGCGCAGTCGATCATTTGTATTCCAAATCCGAAACACTGTCTATAACACTCTTTTCAAAGCGAAATAACCAAAACAACGGATCAAACACGGCTGGTGTTGTAAACCCCACTGTCAGTTACAGTGGAACGCCGAATGTTTGACCTAAAATACGTGTTGTTGTAACTAATCGATGCTATTCTATTTGTGTAAAAGGTACAGTATTATTCCCGGAAGTTGAATAGGTCAATGACTGCAGTATTCGTTGCGGATCGAGTTCGTTTATCGTATCTCGCAAATCTTCGGCTCAATGGAAACAGGACTGAAAACTTGCAAAATCCTGCAGATACTAACTATGTAGTTAAACAAACATTTTCTGCTTTGAAAGTGGATGTTTTTACGTTTGTAATACTCGTTTTGGTGCTTGGCTGTGTTCCAATAGCTCACTCTTTCATTTTCTTTTTCATTTTGAATATTTGGAAAGTTGCTACTCTATTTCTATAGTTAATTATTTTAAAATTTGCTTTTTCAATAGACACCTGTTTCTATACTTAATTATCTAAAAATTTGTCATTTGAACACACATGTATTGCTATACTTAATCATTTAAAAATTTGCAACTTAAAGCCATCACTATTTCTACTTTTAATTATCTTCAAAATTGACATTTGAATAGACACCTACTATTACATTTAATTATCTAAAAATTTGCAACTCGAATACAGCCCTCTTGCTATACTTAATAATATAAAAATTTGCCATTTGAATACACATCTATTCCAACTCTTAATCATTTAAAAATTTGCAACTCA